TCAGTTGGGGCTACAGGGAGACCCTGTCTCAAACAAACAAACAAACAAAAACCCCAAACATGAAATGGATATAAAAGAAAATGTCAGGATATCACTCATAGTAAAGATCAGAAATTATTTTATGAAATTTTCAACAAAATAAGCATCAAAAATGACTGAGTTAGAAAAGTCACATAATTACCTATTATATAATTATATGATGCTCAAAAAGATAAAACATAGTCATATTTTTAGATAACAAAAATTTATAGACAAACCATTCCAAAAAATTCAATGAAATTATTATCATAAAGTTTAAGACAGTGGTGACCTTTGGAGAGAAAGTGGAGGAGGATGCATGGGCTAGAGGGTTATTTTAAAAAACATAATTTAGCTAAATTACATATCATTTTCAGCATACATAGATGGTGTAAGGATAGCCTGCCTTTGTACTATTCCAGAAAGGGAGGAGGGTGGCTAGTCTGACTCAGCCAGGGCGATCTCTCAGCCAGAACCAAGAAAATACAAGCTAAAAATTAAGCTGGGAGAAAAGACAGATAAACTCAGAAGGTGCCAATGAGGAAGACTACCTCTGAGAGAAACTTCAAAATAAAGGACAAAGCAATCCTGAATGTTGTACATGGGATGGACACATGAAAAGTACAAAAACTGGAAAGAGTCACCCCAAATTTACAATAAACTTCTACCGACAGGAAGAGGAGACTGAAAAGAAAAACAGACATCAAACTTCCTTCTGCTGTTTTAAAAATGTTAACACATGTTAGTTCTAGGTGGATGGTAGGTTTTTGATACATAGGCTCCATACTTTGCAGAATTTCTATTATAATTTAAACTTTTTTCCCTTCCTCTGCACCACTCCCCCCCTTTTATTCTAGTACTCTGCTGCTAAGCTACATTACCAGCCATTTTATTTTACTTTTAAGAATTTAAGTTGAGGGGTGGTTAGAGAGATGGCTCAGCTGTTAAGAGCACTTCTTACTGACCTTGCCTAGGACCCAGGTTCAGGTCCCACCACCCACATGGTGTCTGTGATTCTAGTTTCAGGGGATACAATGCCGTCTTCTGGCTTCCTCAGACACTCCATGCATATGGTACACTTACATATATATATTCATGCAGGCAAAACAATCATACACATAAAATAAATATTAAAACTTAATACTTATAAAGAATCTGGATTGTGGATATAATTAAGTTGGTAAAGTATTTGCCTTTTAAGCATGGAAATCTGAGTTTGGTTCCAAAAACCCACATTTTAAAAAAGCCAGGCATAGCCGGGAATGGTGGCGCATGCCTTTAATCCCAGCACTTGGCAGGCAGAGGCAGGTGGATCTCTGTGAGTTCAAGGCCAGCCTGGTCTACATAGTGAGTTTCAAGATAGCTGGGGCTACAGGGAGACCCTGTCTCAAAATGACC